TTAGAAAATTACAATAAAGTATTTTTTTTTTAAATAGAAAAGTATACTACTAAATAGTTAACTCATTAGACAAGTGCTCATGAAGAGATAGTCATAAATTTATGCACTTATTAACATACTACATTTCGTTTAAATTCTTCTGCAAAAATTGAATATTATGTGCCTGAAAAAGTTAAATTCTTCTGTGTAACCCGGCACATTCCGATTCGGTAAAATGCATGTGATTGTAATTCTTAAATTCCATTACAATGGATAGTCCGCAGAGATGGACAAGGTGAAAAACGCAACCTCATCAATTTTTTGAAAAAAATCACATCCATTATGCTGTTCTTTTATAATTGTAAATATTTTATTACTTTTTGTATTGTTATTTGTTTATTACTAATTTCTTTTTGTTGCTTTAACGACAGTTAAAACGTAAATTTTTTTAACAATAACATTCCTCGCTTTCTATTTATTTATTTAGCACGAAATCATGTTAAGAATTTCAAACGAAATGTAAATAAATTAACTTTTCTAAACGTATATAATAATATTCAAGTATATATACCTTTCTAAGTGCATATAATTTAGAGAATTTTTAAGCTAAAAAAAAATAACATTTTGAAGGAGGGAAACAAAGTACTGAGAATTATAGCGTTTCCACACTTCAACACGAACATTTGAAGGCACTAACAAAAAAGCTTTTTTCTAGAAATACAATTAATAAAGGCATGACTTTTTTGAAAATAAAATATTTTACTAAATGCATAATATATTATCCTACAAATATTTATATGAAATTGATGGGCATTTCTTACAAATTGGTTCACAACTGAGAAACCAAAGGAAAAAAAAGAAAGTTGCATCATTTTGAAGAAAAAAAAAAAATCCCAAGGCTCTTTCAAAAAAAAAANAAAAATAGAAAAATAATAATCTATTTTCCAGGACAGTAAATATCATTGATAAAATAAAAAATTTAGGTCAGTTGAGTGAATTTTAGCGCTAGAATGTGCAAGAACGAAAACCTATTTTTTAAAACCTACATGACAGAACAAATTTTCTATGCTTTAAAGATAATTAAAAACGTGACTTTCTTAAGGCCACATGAAATAACGTTTTTCAGCAATTATTTTCGCAACTGTGCAATCATGTGTGTTAGGCTATGTTTTTAGCCAATGATGCTCAAACTGTGTATGAGCACTGGCTAAATCCCCCCCACTCATAATATAAAGGTTAATCAAACATAAACTTGTACCAAGAAACTACTTTCAACTTAACAATAAATCATAATTATAAGTATAGGTCGTTCACCAGGAGTTGGCACTTGGCTCCACCTCCTCGGACGCAGAGTTCATTTCAATGTGGGAGTAAGAGGAGAAACATCTCCGCACTTGAAAATGAGAACCGATAATGCGCGCCAAACAGTGAATTCTTTTTCAGTAACTTACCTCGCTTTATCACCAGCTATTATACCTTTCGTTAGTTTAGCTAACTAAATATATTTAAAAATTAAAAACTGCTCTTTTCCCAGCAAAATATCTCAAAAAGGACAACTATTCACTCAAAAGAGACAAAAATCATCAAATTTATAAAATAAAATGCACATGTTAAAAAAATGCTCATCAAGATTTGGAAATAAATATTTTTGTCATACGATCGCTAAATAGCAACCTTGTTTAGGATTGTTCACATCTCTCTCTCTCCCAAAAATAGCGAAATATTATCGGATACCACGTGATGAAATCAAGTGCCAACTCCTGGTGAACGAACTATAATCATATTTCATACCTTGCTCATGGGTCATTGTATACAATACAACGATGTTTAATCATTCCCTATTTAACCAGTCAATTTTGCACACGATGCCAGATTTTTTTCCCCTTTGCCAGTGACATATATGTATTCCTGCAACAACTTATCATTTAAGAATTGAGTGGATTTCAAAACAAAATTTCTAAAAACTATAACAACGTTTATAGTTATTATTAAGAGAGACGTTTTTTTAAAATTAAAAATGCGGAAGGAGGTATACATTCAAGTTCTATACACACATGTAAACTTTTTTTTAAAAATCAGAAACTCTTCGTTTTTCAGAATGTTCATCAAACATCTCCAATCAAAGCATTTTCAGATGTATAGAAATCTTTCCAACCTTTAAAAAACAGACTTTTTGAGACCAGGACATAGCCGAATGAGTAAAACAATAAATTCTCACATTCTTTATACTAATGTAAGTCACTTTTTTACCCCTAAAAATTACAAAATAACAAATTAACTTATTGTTTTAAAATAGATTGAGTGATGGATTTAGAATTTTTTGAAAACGTCCTATAAAAACTTTCCTCTAGTTTGCCTTCCCATTCAAACAATTCTGTAAAGTTCATTTCGACAAAGAAAAAGAACGGAATTAGGTCTGGATTTTTGTTATTTGCTTATTGCTGTTTTGTTATTTACAAGCCACATGTCAGTGAACACATTTTTGCTACTCATTTCAAGCCATTTTGTATCAATCTTATATCAAAAGAATGAAAATGACTGTTCTAAAAATATATAAGAATATCTGAAAAGCACAAAACAGTTTCTGGAATATCAAGAAATGAGCTCTTTTCCACAAACTATAAACAAAAAACCTAGCAGCTCAAAAAATAAGCAATTGAAATGTTACTCAAATTATTGCAAAAGATATATGCCTTGTGAATGCAGTATTTCGCATAGAGTTAGTTAAAAACACTTGTTTATCAGACTTTTCAAAATATTTAAACTAATATTGCTAATATGGGGGGTGGGGGTGGACTGACACAAAAAGCCTCAAGGTTAGAAATAAATTTCTAACCTTGATTGAAAATTTCTAAGCTTATTCAACAAAATGGTTCAAAAATTTTAAGTTAAAACACATTACGTGTATTAATATTATAATATTTATTATATATATAAAAATTTAAATATAATTTTATGTAGGACAATCTCCCTAAAGGTGTAATAGAATCTTTGAATTAAATGGCATCACAGGCGAAATCTGTGAACAATATGGAAACTAAAAAAGAGTGGCCTTATAAACTCATTATTTAATTTGTCACTTTCTGACCTGTGTATTAACCTCTTGAGGGGAAAAATAAGCGAATTCATTTCTGATCATTTCGAAAGACTACACCCCATTGCATACATATTTGTGCAAGACATATAAAAGATCTTGACACAGCATTTAGTACAGAGAGACTGAATTTTCTTGGGATGATCTGCAGATAGGCATAATTATAATAGAGTTGTGAGTACATAAAAAATGTGAAAGATTTATCCAATTTTGACTCATTTATGTGATGTATGTAAATTTTGACAAAATATAATTCAACAACAGTGGTATAGAGTGAATGTTTCTTTTTTTGAGAGAGATAAATGAGATGGATAATCCTCAAGAGATGAGAGCACAAGACAGACTTCTGACAACAATTAAGTTTAAAGTTAATCCACAGCAATTTTATAAGAGTCAGTTTATAACTCAGGTGACGGAAATCAATCGCAAATTATTTAATACTTTATTTTAAAAAAAATATCATTCCCCCCCCCAAAAAAAAATAAAAGCAGATTTGTGACATTCATGACTTTAACTTATCAAATGCAACACAAAAATTATAATAAGTATCAGAATGTTCACAAATAATAATAAGAGAATTAAGTTTCACTGGGACAGTTATTTGATAATATATTTAACAAATAGGAGTAAGTTATATTACGGTGTGAAAGAGAGAAGGTCCGAAGAAATAAAGTTCAAAATCACTTTAACAAAAAATAGATTTAAGTATGAATCTGCCTTTAAAATAATTTACAAAAATTTTCTTAGACTTTAATGTGAATGTTTCAAAAACAAAAATGCAATTTCCTTGAATGAGAATCGTCCCACTCAAGTAACGCATGCACCATTAGATAGTTTTTCCTCAAAAATTTATTACAATGTCATTTAAGTAATAAAGTGCATATAATTTTATTGTCAATAGAATTCATAACTGGCTGCTTTTAATGTGATTGTTTCCACTTTTTGAAATGGAGAGACAAACATTTTATGACATTGTTCGATGAGTGGATAGCTAATTGCTAAACTGCCATATTTACAGTCTTGATTGTGAAGTGTTTCTTACAACTCATTTACTTTATTCCCTTTCTGTAACTATGTTCATGCATAGGAATAGGGTACTTGCACTTTGAAAAGATCAAACTTACCCACACGTCACCTATGACATCCACGCCAGCTGATCGTCAATAAACAAAATGGCATGTCAAAGTTTTTTTTCACTTAAGTTAGAATGTTAATTAAATACAGCGCCATATATGGTGCATTGAATTTGTTGAAATATAATTCTTAATTAGATTTATTATTTGTTTACGCATTTTATTGTAACATGTGATATATTTTAGTTTTGTGCACCTGTCAGCCTTTGTGCACAATTAAATTATGCTCTACACGGCATTGTGTTAAGTAAGAAATAAAGGTTGAAGGAATTAATATCATTGTGAAGGATTATAGAATGTATCACTTGAGAGAATTGAATCTTGAATGGGTTAATCCTAAATAAAATGAAAAGAACAGTTCCTAACATGAACAAAGCCACATTTTAACAACCAATCAGGCTCGAGATACGCCACACTACTTCACTTGCGAGTATCCCATTGTATCGGTAGTCTATTTTTTTTCTTTTCGTGTGTTTAGATTAACACATTACCAATTTCATCAAAATCTGTTTACGAATTCCGGAGATAAATCATTTTAGAAACATTTTAATTTTGAACACCAGGACAAAAACGGTCCTTTTGATCCATTCACAGTACACCATTGTTCAATGAAAAGTTATTCAACGAACAAAAAGTAATTTTTTTAAGACATGAAATAACCAAAAAATATCTAATAACTTTTAAGAACTCTGGCCGAATGCAAGTCCAGGAGAAATTAACCATGTATAGAAACAACAGAGTTAAAACTTACAATAAATATTATAACATATATGCTGGGATCAATAATAGATGTATTAAACATTTTTCTTTAAATTTATTATATTGAAACAGAAAAATCAACAGTAAATAATAATACTGATAGACAATCACACATTAACATCATAAGAAATATAAAACAAATATAACACATCAGAAGTTCAGACGGCTTTAGAGTGAAATGTAATGAGAGAACAATATTAAAGAATCATTCATAAATACATTAAAATGTAAAAGTTTAAATCTTAAAACATTAGAGAAATGAAATATCACTTCAAAAATAGATGCAGCTTTATCATTATTAATTCATACACTGCAAGCACATTGTGCAATAGTTCTGAAATTAAAAGACACTGTTGTATATTTAAATAAAGTTTCTCTTCTATCAAGGGGAAAAGCAGTTAAGTTTAACAATTAAATACTTTTCAGGCATGCCAATTTATCTTCTCTCTAAATCCCATAATCAAGATATAGAGTTAGGCAGAAAAAGTTGCTTAAACGAATGTTAAAAGTCTTAGAAATTATTCAAAAGCTATTTTAATGAAACTTGTTTGATTGTCTATTATCAAAAACAGTGAGTGTGTGTGTGACCCATAACAACTGAGTGTCTCGTAAACACTATACATATTTATATAAAAACACATTCAGTATATGTTATTAAAATTCAGCTACAAATATATATATTTATATATATGTACACAATTCATTGCAACAGTAATAAAAAAATGTTTTTGTGAGTATTAAAAATTATTGCAATCACAAACTTCAGAATGTGAGTTTTTATTTTGATTGAGGAATTCTCAAAAGATAAAGGTTCTAATCATTTCTTAGGCAATCGTCGTCGTTCCTACGAATGACATTTCATACATTATCTCATTACTAGGTCATGTCACAAAAAACTTCCAAAATATATCTTTGCAACATTAAACATAATAATCAATGGAAGCAGTTCAAAAAGACACTTTTGAAAATGTTTCAATTTAACATTGACCATTCCATGAGAAAATAACAGGAACTGAAAAATTATTTTAAAATATATTTTAACACTTACGAGAAAATGAATTTTCATTTTTTCTTAAATATATATTTTTTTAATAATTTTTTTCACTGCAAAAAATATTTTCTTAAAAATATTTGTTGCTAATTGTTAACAACATTAAAAACTTTAAAATGTTCTTTTGCCAAATATTGAGATTTATAATAGATTACTGTTTTTGGCCCAGATAAAGTTTAAAACGGTTGTTGTCGTTGAAATGACATTCACAGATGACTTGCCAATGAAATGAGAACAAGAGTTGTTAAGGCAACAGTGCAGATAAAACTAAGAGGGGTCGTCTTTAATCCAGCTAGCAGGCACCCACTGGGGTTCCCTCTCGATGACGCTGATCTCGTGCAGCAGTTCGCTGTACGTTTTTTCGAGGTCCACATTGATGAGCACCAGATCAAAGTAGTGACCGTAGAACTCCTCCATTTCTCGAGCTTTCTCTATAATGTCCTTCAGCTCGTCGTCCTTCACTGCATTGTCCATTTTGAGACAATTTTGTCTGAGCTTCTCCAGGGAGGGTGGTGCAATAAAGACTACATATGGCATCAAATCAGATTTCTTCAATATCTTCAGAGACTGGAAAAAAAAAGGGTTTTCTGTTAAGTACCAAAGATAGTCTGTCACTCAGTTTTTCTTTTTATATATTTCGATGCAAAAAAAAATTTAATTTAGGGAAATTAAAATATTTGAGTACTTTTATGTAAATCCAAAAAATAAGCTTTAATACAGTTTTAAAATCCAATTGAATGATAAACAGTATTTTAAATCACTCTGGTGTGTTAAAAAATATGTTAAAATAGTTCTTAATATAATTTATGTAAAAATCATTCTGCATTAAAAAATATAAAAATATTTTAACACTACAAAAGTAAAAATTTCCTTAAAAAAAAAATCAATTTTTACTAGCATTAACATTTTAACTAACATTAAATGTGCTTGCAAAGATACATTTAGAAAACTTGTAAAAATGCATAATTTTCCATTGTAATACATTCTTAAAAATTATCTAAAGAAAGAAAATCCGCAACAAAATTTAGAACACAGGAGAAGAGGACGAAGAAATAATAAGATAGAAAAGGAAACTCACTTGAGGATGCAGGTTGAGGACGCACGTCTTTCCGGCTTCGATGACACTGCGAATGGCATCGAGGCTCGTTCCGTAGTAACTCTTCTGGTATTCACCGTGCTCCACGAAGCGACCGGCCAGAATATCTGCCTCAAACTGCGTCCGGCTGATGAAAAAGTAGTCAACACCATTTACTTCAGAATCTTTCTTCGTTCGACTAGTATCTAAGAAATGACAGTTACCAATGAAATCAAACTCTATAGCATAAAATTAAAACAGCATTTTAAAATCAGGGGACTTTTATTAACATAGTATAGTTTGGCAGGGTTATACTGTGATGCACAAATCAAATTATCCATTTTTTTTAATAGCATGAAAACCGTCACAAGAAGAATGTAAAGGTTCATATACTGGATGCAGGTGATAACTTTATATAAATTAGAACAACATTTAGGATGACTTGAACATAGTTTTAATAAGAAATGTGATACAACAATGCATGTCAATCATCAAAAAAGTAACAACTAAAACAGGAGCAAAATCTTTCAACAAAAAATAAGCTCCTTTTCATAAATGACGATGGATGCAAGACAATCACAGCAACAACAGAAATTAGCCATCGGCATGGAAGCGAGCTCTATTTAAACCCACATTTGAATGACATAGTTTTAATGCCGATCTCGCAAAAATAAACTACGTTGAATGTCACTCATTTAAAAATGCAAATTTTTATCTATGATGTAAATTGTACTGCATTTGATGGCTCCTCTCCCTGACAACAGACAGCGCATTCAACCAAACAGGTGTAAATTAACATAAGAATTTAGTTAGTAATGTACGTAGGATAAAGCTTTTGATCTTCTTCATCGATAGAACATTACAATAGGTATACTTTTGTGGAAATCATTCAATCTTATGAAAAATATTATATTACTTGATAAATTAGTTAAAAAAATTGTACTACAAAATATGAGAGTGTAAGAACTCACTGCTCAAAAAATTGTTCGGACATACATGGATATATTCAAAGTTAAATTAAGAATTCTTAAAATATTTGCTAATCATGGAATCTTGTTAAAAAAAATGTGCTAAAAGTAGTACCAAGTCAATACTAATATAATGAGGAATACAACAAAAATAATAAAAAATACAAAATAAGGAATATAGAAATGTAATCAGGCTAAGAAGAAAGCAATGTACATAAAATGTTGGATTGACCATTACATCTCAAACTAATTAAAAGAAATAACCTGAGATACTTTTCCTTCATTAAAAACAAATGCTTCAAGTTCATTCGATTATCATAACAAAAGGAAAAGTGGTTTAAATCATTTCTATGAAATTTTATCTATCAAACAAATCTTTCTCAAGTTTTATTTCCCTGAAAGAATATTAATCTTTACCCAGAAAGAATATTAGAATTTTTGCAAAAGCAAATAGGGCTTTATGTATCAGTTCTTAATGCATCAGTAATTAATAATGAGGTGCATGTATACAAATATGAATATATCCATGCATGTATTTCTTGATGAGTTTTTTAAGACTCTTCATACAAGGTGACAATTACTATATGGATATAAATAAATTATATGCCATTTTCTTTTGAAAAAAACATTAATACACTATATTTTATGTAAAGAATTTTGTTCGGGCCCTCAGCCTGTTCAAGCGTCAGAGACAGTTGTCTCTCTATCCTATATAATATCTACAGATATAAATATATATATAAGATATTTTTTTTTAATCTAATTTTTTTTACATTTCCTTCTGTTTTTAATTGATTTATGTATTTAAATACTTAGCAAACTTATTACTTCCCAGTCTAATGAGAATATTTACTGATATTCTGCAGCTTTTCACAGAAAGATTTGCTAATTTTTTTAAAAAATTGTTTTTCTAGAAGAAATTGATGCATAAGTGTTGTTCATTTACGTCGCACTAGAGCTGCACAATGGGCTATTGGCGACGGTCTGGGAAACATCAATGGAGGATGATCTGAAGGCATGCCATCACAATTTTGATCATCTGCAGAGAGGATGGCCGCCCCCGCTTCGGTAGCCCAACGACCTGCACGCGAAGTCGAGCACTTTACGGTAGAACAGTTTAACGAGGACCAATACCGCACACCCTCGGTCCCTACGCAGACTGATCCAAATGGTCACCCACCCGCACACTGACCGTAGCCAGTGATGCTTGACTTCGGTGATCTGCTGAGAACCGTGTCTTAACGATCAGTCCACTGCGGGACGATGCATAAGTGTCAGTGCAATCTTAAGTGTCAATTTTATCCTAAATAATATAATAAATTTTATAAGAAATTCTCCATGAAACAGAATTGTAAATAAACAAGAGGTTTTGATTTCAAACCTTTTTGTTTCAATTTCACTAAATCTTTATATGCATATTGTAAATGTATTTGTATTTATGTTATCAAATCTTATCAGTTTCTATTATTGATAAGAAGTTAGCTAATTTCAATAAAATTTTTTTTAAAAAATACAGTAAGCAGCAGGGTAAAATACTCACGAGGTACAGCCGCAGCAAATCTATTAGTGTCTTCCATGAGCCTTTGTCTCAGCTCATGCCGGCCCACTTTCTGGGGTCCAATCAAGACCAGAGGTCGCTTCTGGTGAGCCCTCGGGTAATAGAGCCGCACTTCTTCATAGGTCAGAATCTGGTCTGTATCTGTCTCTAAAAACCAAAAAACCCAATGAAACTAATTAGTTCTTCAGGAATAATAATTTAACATGAACAAGCTGTAAAAATACAAATACATAAATTACTATAATAAATTTAAAAAAAGAAAAAGGCCTGTTATTAGAGCAAAATGAATGTCACTACTGGTCCCAGGACAGCTAGATATAACAAATGGTGATTAGAAAATTGTTTGCTGATGGCCAATTTTTTGTCGAAAATGCACCACTAAAAAAAATATATATATTTTTTTAATGAAATTATTAAGAATATTCTACAAATCCTTTTATTTCACACTTGTTTCTAGAAATGTTTTTCATTTTAGAAATAAAGCTTGTAATGTGTATTATATTTTGAGAAAAGTTTTGAAAGAAATGCCTTGCATTACTATTAATAGTTTTTTGAATCATTCTATTTTTGAAAAGAAAACACCACAGTTAAAAATGATACATTTTGCTAGTAGCAGAATTTCCAAATTTTGCCTCATATTAGTCTTTATATCTCAACCTTTTCATACCCAAGAACAGGGTATCTGCTACACTTAAGATTTTCAAATTCATGACTAATTCCAAGAATTTTTCATGACTTAACGAAGTTACTATTTTCTCCGACAAAAACGCAACAATAAATTTAAAAAAGTATTATAATAACATTAATTGAAATGATAGGTATAACCAAAACTGTTATACTCTGCATCGTCATATTTATAGATTTTAAATTTAAAAAACAGAGTCAAGAAAGACTTAAAACAATAAAATAGTTGAAAGAAATAGAAAAGCAAATAATTCCCCCCCTTTTTTCCCCCGCAAAATTATATTCTGAAGATACTCTTCTTGTTCATCAGAAAGGAAAGAAATACTCCTAATTTTTCTTTTCTCATTTCGGAATTAAAAAAATTCGCCAATGACTGGTTTGCTTCAACTAGAATTTTTAATTGATAAAATTAAAAAAATAAAAATTCTTAAATCACAGAATTTTAAAAAATAATTAGCTCTAAAAATGTTTTTTCTTTCATTTTTTGAAAGAACACCATAATTTTTAAAGAACATGATAAAATCATTTTATATTTTAAAAAAATATGACTGAGTGGTGATTTTGTTAGGAATTCAGATATTTGGAACAGGATGAAATCTGAGAGGGGGATTCCATTTTAAAAATTAGATTTTTCGGAGACCTAAATGCATGACTTTCCATGATTTTTTTAAAAAAGTAGTAAAAATCATGACATTTCATGAAAAATTTTGTTCAATACTGAAATTCATGACCTTCCATGATTTTTCATGACTTTCCAGGTGTGCGGATACCCTGCAAGAACGTAAAGATAAAATTTTAAAAAATTGACAACAACATACACTGAAATGAACAAAAACCTATCCTCTTAATTTTAGAAAAAAAAATTCCTTCATTTTTTAGGAAAATTTAAATGTTTCACCCTATTTTATCCAAACCATGCAATTTTTCACCAGAAAACTGTGAATTTTTTATTTTATTTGTAGTGTCAAATATTAGAATTTGAAAGCAAAAAATGTCATTAAACTAGGATGGAAACATGTAAAAGTTTCACTAAAATGTGGAATTTTTACAACAAATAATTGTAATAGATGTTAGAATTATTTAACTCTAATCTTAATAACTAACTGATTACTGTTACTGCCAATTTTAAAACAGGTTATTTTTTAGGTGTAATGTAGGAATTTTTCAGGCTTTAGACCAAACATTTAACCTTCTCTGACTATTACTTGCTTTTTAAAGCTAAAATAAAATTCTCTGGCAATTGCAGGTACCATGGAAGGTGAACCATGGAAGTTCTGCCTATACAAATGTAGGGTCTAATGCATACTAAATAAATGGAATGCATATTAGTTCTTTTTTCCTAATTATATATTTATGAAAATAATGTAAATGCAATAATAGTTGAAATAAAATAGTGCCCAGGCATTTTTCTTAAAACATCCCAAAAATGGTAGAGCTGACCCATAATTTTCTAGTGTGAAAAAAAATAATGCACGAGTAAATTTTTTATAGGTAATATTATATTCAAACACATATATAAAAAATTTCTTTTTCTTCTTTATAGCTGACAAAGAAAATATGAACAATTCATCTTTGCTTTTCTGTTAGATCAGTCCTAATTGAAAGCTTTATTTGTACAAATCCATTTTTGTTTTATAATGGATAAAGAATTCATAATTTAAATAGGGATTCACTTTTAATAAAAAGCTACCCAGATGAAGTCACACTTTTTCTAGTTCAGAAAACAATTGTCTTCTTTCACAAATTCTGAAAAGGGTCGTATTAAAAAGGCATCCATTCACATGAAATTCAGCGATCCCTTTAACCCCATAACAATCGGTTAATTTTCAAGAAAACGGTCATAAAAGTGCCTATTTTTTTTGGCTTTTGTATTTGTATTAATAATTTGATTAGGGCTGCAACTAGTTAAAAATAAACTATTTACAATTACCTCAAAAATATCNTTATAATGGATAAAGAATTCATAATTTAAATAGGGATTCACTTTTAATAAAAAGCTACCCAGATGAAGTCACACTTTTTCTAGTTCAGAAAACAATTGTCTTCTTTCACAAATTCCGAAAAGGGTCGTATTAAAAAGGCATCCATTCACATGAAATTCAGCAATCCCTTTAACCCCTTAACAATCGGTTAATTTTCAAGAAAACGGTCATAAAAGTGCCTATTATTTTTGGCTTTTGTATTTGATTAGTGCTGCAACTAGTTTAAAATAAACTATCTACAATTACCTCAAAAATATCCTGGTACTGCCATCAGGCGTGTAAAATGAGAAATGAAATGTTTTCCGGGCAAAAGAAATGAATCAGTTTTATTCTTATTGGCCCGTTACTACTGAACACTTCAGCCAGTCATTTTCACGGGAGAGAGAAGGAAAGGGGTTAAAAGATATTTAATTTTAAAAAAATTACATTTCATTATTTATGAAACAGATTTTTACTGGGCTTCAATTTTCCCCTGCACTTCATTAAAAATATTTCTCTGTAAAGAAGTCATCTTAATTAAACGAAGGATCTTCAATGTTTCAAAAGGAAGCTTTTAAGAAGTGAATTTCACAACTCATTTTGTGATTTAAATGGAACGAATCTGGGTCATTATTACTGTCACCAATTTAGAATCCTGGCAATGGAAGATTTTTCTGTTTTGGTCTTTTTCCTTTTTCTCACATATTTTTTTTTTAATACAAAATAACTCATAACATGTAATGAAAATAAATTTGCTATGTAGTGACTTTTATCACAAAAAGAAAACCACTTCTAGGATTAAAAAAAGAATAGAGTACCATCACTGTAGTTCAAATTGTAGAGCTTTTTCTTTTTCCTTCTATGATGTCTTTTAGCACAAAGAAATTTTCCAGCTAAAAATACATACAACAACTATGTATTACTACATCAGGAAAAATGAAATACAAAAGGAAATACAAAATATAGTACCCTTCTTTGCTTTCTTTTCCCTTACATCCCCAACAACAGCTTGTTTCACAACTTCTCTTCTGAAATAGAGAATTTTAAGTTAAGAACTTTTACCAATCATTTAACAAGGCCCACATTTAGAAACAAAATCAAAATTCATTTTGATTGAAGACTAGAGACAGCAAACAGTTATTTAATATACATGAAGAACTGTGGCAATGAATAACAGACTCATAAAATTGCAATGACAATGGATTTGATAAAAGAAATAGTAAAAAAAATTATATATTTAGCAGGATAATATGAAGGACTGATGTATTTACACTTACATATTAGGACTATATCAATGCCTTTCATTTTTTTTTATGAAAATGAACGGCAGAAAATTCAAATTTAATGAGTGAACATCTAGAACCACAGAGTAAATCAAAGATAATCCCCCAACTATTTGAACAAATGAGTAATTGGGTGAGCAGTGGACTGTCAACCCTAAAAATTAAATAGTTAAAAACTTACACATTTTTTAAATAATGCTCACATTCCACCTTCAGCTGTAAAATAAATTTGTTTCTCCGATGAGAAATTTTTTTAGAAAAGTGTTAAAACCTAGTCAGTGCTCAGATATTATATTTATGTAATTAACTAAATATTTATTATGCATACGTTTGAGCTAAATAATTATTTGCAGAAATAAGGTCAAAAATGCATAAAATACAAAAAATCATAAAGGTCAAACTTTTCAGAGTTTTCCTTACACAACTACTAAGACCAGATTTTCTACATGGAAAGAAAGAAGGTCTATTCATTCCTGTGTCCAAATTTATAGCTTTAAATAGCGTCTGAACTAATTAATTCTTCTTCTTCAGCACGACAGCCCCTTACAGGCCTTCACCACACGTAGCCTCCAACGCCTCCTGTCCATGGCGACTTTTTTCCAGTTGTTTATCTTTAATAGTCATCCAGCATGTGTCATCCAGCCATCTAATTGGAGGTCTTCCTCTAGCCCGAAGGATTTTTAAAGGTGGCGATTCGGACTGCATTATTTTCTGGACCTCTCCAGATATGGCCAAGCCATCTTAATCTATTGCTTCGGATGACCTGCACTATCTGTGGCTGTCCATAGAGTCTATATAATTCAAAGTTGCATCTGATTCGCCAACAGCCTCTTTCCTGTACTCGGCCAAAAATATTTCTAAGGATTTTCCTTTCAAAGACACCAAGAGTATGCTGAGTGTCTGCGTTTAGCGTCCATGTTTCACTTGCATAGAGCAATACAGGTAGAATAAGAGTCTTATAAATTTTAATTTTTGACTGATTAGGCTTGATCTTAATTGCTTTCTTAGTCCAAAGAAACACTTGTTTGCCATTTTAATTCTGTTGTCTACTTCTGTTTTTATGCTGTTTTGGTCATTGATCATTGTTCCAAGGTATTTGAATTCATTAACCTTTTCAAAGGTGTAACCATTTATGAATAAAGGATCATGATTTACAGTTGTGGCTGGAGATTCCATAAATTTAGTTTTATCTTCATTGACGGTAAGGCCCATACTTGTGGCAGAGGTTTCAAGAGCCAGAAAGGCCTCTCTGACCTTCCTATGACATCGGCATATGCCAGTAATTGAACTGATCTATTCCAAAGGGTGCCTTTTCGGTCTAATCCACGAACTAATTAATTAGCCTTTTAAATTTATTACACGTCAAATAGTTAAGATTGCATATAAGTAAAATAAAACTTTAGTTCAAAAGTCATTCAAAATATTATACATATATACATAGCTGCCAACTCCTCGTTTTCCCGAAAATTTTATTTTCATATTTAAAATTGTAGCGAAACTTGTGCTATTCCATTAACGTTTTTGAATTGTAATCAGGGCTCGAAAAAAGTTGAAAGCAAAAAATGTCATTAA